TGCCCAGTACTGACTTGCAAAGATGGGATTGGCTATTGGATCGATGGAGGATGTTGTCGTCAAGGTCAACGGTATTGAGAAGGGTCACCCTCTCTACGAGCGCCTTGTGGCCATTGTCAAGAAGGTCCAGGAGAGCAGCTGAATATCGGTTCACAAGCTCTAGGCTTGAAAGCCACTGCGACTTCATCTGAATATATGGTATATGAATAGACGAAAAGCATGTCCTGGTGGAGGAAGAAAAGCGTTCAAACAATTTCCTCTGGACAGATCATGGATGGCCTCATGGGAACTGACAAAGATCAGTGTCCTACATAACGAAATGAAACATGAGTGATGACATAACTCTTTTTCACCTACTGAGAACTTTCATGTGATGTGAATTTTTTGATTCGCGTTGTGCTGTCATATCTGAAAGGGCCAAAACATTGTTGCGCATGGTTTCTACGACACATGAACAGTAGGAGGTGAGCCTCGAACACATAGGGTCATCTGCTACACATATTCTCTACCTAACCCTTCCACTCCCCTCCCCTCTCCCTACGCAGCAATGCATCCTTCACAATACGCAATCTCCCCTCCTCTTTGATTGTGGTTTTCAGGTCACGCTTCTTTCACCTCATGTGAGCACCCTGGGCGTTCCTTCAAAGTATAAGTCTGGAAAGGATGGCGTGGGGAGTTTTTGGGGGACTTGAAAATACAAGTCAGACGGTTATATGGGTTTTGTGGCGGTGGAGTTGGGGTCGTTTCGGAAAATTGTTGGCGCTGTTTGGATGTGGATGTTTGCGCCTCTTTTTTTGGGTAGGGGAGAGGGGGAGGCAGAAAGGGGTCTGGATGTGGTACGCATGTTTGATTTAAAATCACAGGCGCCTAACTTTAGATTCCGGCTTGGTTGCATCAATAATTTTTTTACCACGCTCGATGCTAAGTAACAATAACCTCACCACCATCCATCACCCTCCACTGTTGATCCCTATCTGTACACTTTCCAAAAACACAAAAAGACGAAACAAATGAGGCCATCATACCATGGTTTGCCAGAGGAATAAAATCAAACTACGGTACAAGGTTTTCATGTCTTGTTCTGTTGGTCTTGAGTAGGTTACAGTGGTGTCACTGTATAAGTCACCTCGCCGCCATACCCTCGTTCTCAGTCTTCATTCTTCCAAAATAAAAACGATCTGGGCGACTATTGTATGGTTGTGAGAAGAAGCAAGATGTAACATCTGTCGCAATGTCCTCTTCCGCCGGTCCTGACACAATCACTATCATGTGTATGTGTACGAACTGTCGTATTCTCAGGTCCTGCGAATTCTACAGCACTGGAGACTATGAGGTGGAGTGTTCGGTTTACGGATAATGTAGGATTTCGTGATACAATGCATGCCTGTACTATAAATTGTGTGAACGTGGTGTTGTGGGGAAAGTGGATGTGAAGGAGTGGACGGGTGGATGTGGTACATGTCTTTTGCCTACACCAAATGCGATTTACATTGGGTATGTCGGGGACATACGAAACCATGTGTATTCTTGATGATTATTCGAGAGGGGGATTGAAACCCGAGCAGCGAAAACATCGCTTCCGCCACCCCATGCAGGAAAAGTACAAAATGGCTTGTGCAAGCTATCCTATCAAAGGAAGAGTATTGGCGCGTGATACATGTATATTAATCTCGGGTCTGGAACTTGTCTATGCCTCGTCCACTTCCCTCATGCTCTTGCTCGAAAGCAGGCTGGTACTCGAAAAGAGTTCGAAATCTTGAAATCTTATTGGAATGAGAGACCTGACCTTTTGGGGGGCTCAAGACCCTCAATATCGGGCAGAGGTGTATAGAAATACACCTACCATGTCTATGTGTCTGGTCTCTTTTTCATTTGTACACACAATCAAATGGATTTGAAAGCCAGATACCTAGGGCACATCTGCAGACGTGGAGTACAGAAAACCCGAAGACAGCAATACATGTCTTGTGGAGACTGTGGGAGTCAAGCCAAACAACAGGCGTCTTCGCAAACTGGGATTACTATGGAAACACCCCCGGAATCTCTAGACTGAACACATGAAAACAAATTGTCAAGAAGATTAGTCAACGGGAAGAATATCTTCAAACCCGTCTCCATGAGAAATACGGGTACAGTACACACTCCAAACACTCCTAGGCAGTTCCCATGTTGGCGGGTCACTATTGTAAAATTGTACAATCAAGCTCAAAGGTGTATAAAAAGCGCCCACCCAACACCTAGAACTCTTCCAAGCTCTCACATTCACGCCGACTCCTCAAAAGGTGGAAGGAGCACTTTAGGTGCGTGGCGAGTTCAAATTCAACAATGCTTAACGTGATGTGTCGTTTCTTCCGCCAAAGTTCCAAAAAACCACTTTAGTACGACACGGTTCACCATAGTGGAAACTAGCAGAGATAATAGTAAAGCGTGGATGCTTGCCACATCGCTGGTATATTCTTTAAACTGTCGACCACTTACCAAAACACGTAAAGAAGCACCCATGGCGTGGACGCGTAGTTCGTGAATGCTAGGTGGTAGAAATCGTTGGGATGGTCTTCTATGTTCCAGCGTACTGTGTGCGTTCATAAAAAGCGTGCGAGCTCACATATGACCGATTTTATGGACGCCTTGTAGTTGCGCGGTAGTTAGATCAAACAATTTGCCATGCAAGTTCTGCATCAACGTAATGCATCAACGTAGGTTTTCTGCGATCAGCTTCATCCCCTTTCTGCCAGCCTGCTGAACGTATTATTCCAGGGTGAGGATTGTGAGGATTGTATAGACATGCGTCAATATAATATCTCGAGTTGTAGTAGAAACGGTCGTGCAGTGCCTGGCCTAAATGGTGGCCTCAAAATCCAAATCCAAGGCAAACATAGCTGGCGGAGCAGAGTTCGTTTGCGAAGCGAGGCCTTGCATGCTGACATGGCTGAAAACAAAGGACAATACGCCTTGTGTAACGGTCTTCGTCACTGTTGGAGATGACCACCGTATGATTCGCCGCACGGTTTTCGGGTGGCTTGCTGCGGATGTGCGCGCCGCTGCAATGCAGTTTGCAGTAGAGAGCTAAGGATGCTGCGGGGATGACAGAGGTAGCCCAGAAAGCGGCACGCCGACGCGCCTCGGACGAATTGCTGATGCACGCGATAACTATTTGCTGCATTGCCCGTTTTCGACTGAGACCTGCTCATGACAGAGCTGCGAGGTAGATTAGTGTCAGTAGTGTATGATGTGTTGGGCCGTCTGACTGCGATCCTGAATGAACAATGAGTGTTTCGCACCGAGGATGCATGAACCAGGCGCAAGACATTGTAGTACTCTGGTCTGTACAATACCGGTACTGTGAAGCGCAACAAGTCTTATCTGAACGATTACTGTATTTGAACAATCGGTCCGCCGGTGCTGGTGCAATGCTGGGCGCGACACAGCCTCTCTTGGTGGTTCTTAGGTATTCACAAAGAAAACCTCTCCAAAAAGCATACTAATGGACATCGCCATGTCCGTTGCGGACCGACGTGTCATATCCACAATTGAGGATTAGAATCGCGCTGGTTCGTCGAGGGTAAAATCGGGGCTGAAACAGGCAATTCGTTGGCCTCGGATAAGACGGATGACGGGTAAATGGGTATGGGTTTGTTGTCTGTGAAGAATTCCCATGTTGTCGTATTCGCTTGTCGAAGCTAATCGTCCCTCCGCAAAGGGCTGGCCTGATTGTCAACCCAAAGGCGGCCCACGGGCTGGACCAGGGCGAGAATAATATTTGCCACGAGGCTTAGGGGCTGTGAGAGATTATCGTAGAGACAAGCTGGCTGGGATGGAAGGCTAGCAATAGTAGAGTACAAGAGGGGTTGTAGCGAAATGCAGGCTTACGATGCGCAAATCAAATCACAACGCCCGCTTGTCCTTGCAGGGTAAGCGTGCCAAGACCCTGGACGTGCGACAATCATGCCTTTCTGCACGCATACTGTGGTACAACCAAGGCAAGGGGCACATCACCCAATCTCGCGCGGGCAACGCCTGGTCTGCCACACACACATACACACACACATGTAGAGCAACGACGACGCTCTGACGGTAAAGGAAAACGGCTGCTGCAGAACAGAGCCGGATGACTGGGTGCTTTGCCATGGTTGGAGGAGAGAGAACGCAGGTATGGTTCGTATGGGTCCCCTTCAGAGACGGAATCGATTAGGTTCCATGAGCCGGACTAGGCTGCTTTCCGCATCCAAGGAGACGCTACCATGTATATGCTTCCATATTTACTTTCCGATGGGGGGGTGTGGCGTTAGCCATTCGCGCGTTAGTGAGCACCACAAAGAAACCCGAGCACGCGACATCGTCATATGCAGAGCACGCCAGGCCATCTTTGACAGCCAGGTAGCCAACACTCTGTGGGCTATGGAGAAGAAGATGCAAAGAAAAGGGCCATGGTGAACAGGCCGGCTAGCCAAACTTCACCAGCGGAAACCTGGAACTTGAAGCATCCGATCATCCGCAGAGTCGGAGGAATAAAAGTGGGGCCTTTCATACAGCCTGTGAGCCCTGTGCAGGCTTTGGCACCCGTGGGAAGGCGGCGGACCATCCATCATAGCAGAGACAAGACCACCTCCCTGCCGGCGTTATTTCATCTTGGCATGGGTCACACCGGGAAACATCGCTCGCCATTCGATCCATCCTTCTTGAACAGTTCCAAGCCTTCCTTCCCCTCCTTTTACATTCTTGTCTCTAGTCACTCTTTTGCTGACTCCCTTTTCAAATAATCCTGTACCCTTGGACGATTACGACGCTCTTCGCTAAACCACGTCAGCCTGTCGCGGCGCCTTCCTCATCAATTTCTTGTTTTTTTTGGGGGAAAGAGACATTTGCTGCGAGGAGAGACTGCATGGAAGTTGGCTTTGGCGGTCTTCTTGCATAACACTGTTTTGCTTTTGCAAAAGTACAATACAACATGTCCAACTTCACAGCCCCCGACGATAGCCAATGGAACAGCAAACCTGCGTGGAAACTGCCAGGATGGTGTGAACCAGTAGTATGTCTCCTCAGAAGGAACTGGAGACTCGCGGCGATAGAGTGGAAGAGAAGATGCTAACATTCGTTGTGCGTGTAGATGGTGGCAAGCATATTGTTCTTTGCCATGTTCATGACCCGAAAACGAAACTACAAAATATTCGATCGATCGTCAGCGCAAAATGGCTATCTCGATAGCGACCCAGACTTGTCTACTGATCGCCTACTTCCACCTGGAAGTGAAACTGACGGCGAGTTCGACGAGGTGTTTTTAACGAAATCTCCGCCAAAAGTACGAAGGGTATGCTGCTGGAAGGTCACCACGCCAAACACGTCAAGATTTCGCAAGAACATTCATAGTCGCATCCTGCAGCGCTTTCCCTTCCTGATTGAAATGTTCTACTGGATCATCAACTACGCTTTCTACCGCATGACCTCTGTACTGTCGAGTAAACTTTTCGCTGGCAGGGGGATTTGGGACGTTGCGCAAGAGCATGGGATTGCTGTATTGGAAGCAGAGCAGTACGGTCTGCTGAGCTTTCTGTTTCCAGTCCGAGAGCGCGATGTGCAACAGTGGTTCATGCATGGCCACCAGGATATGCTCACGGTGCTGAACAAGTGCTATGCGCTTATCCACATCCCTGGGACGGTTGGGTAAGTGTACCATACGCGCATCTGAGAGACTGACTGGCTGACAGACATAGCTTCATCTGCTGGTACTACTATGTCGCCCCTTCTTTCGACACTTTTGCCGTTGCCCGCCGAACACTTACGCTCACCAATTTCTGTGCTTTTATAACTTTTGTCATATACCCTTGCATGCCGCCCCGTCTGCTTCCTAAGGAATACGGTTTTCTCGACACGGTCCGCCACGACGATGCACAGAGTGTTTGGATGAGCGGGAAATTCGTCAATCAGCTGGCCGCCATGCCATCCATGCATTTCGGCTATGCGTTTTGCATTGGCATGACCATGATCTACCACTCCGGGCTTTTCCGCCGCACGCTCGAACGCGGTGAGGTTCGCAAATCCGTCTTCTGGAAGATATTCTACCTTGTTCTCGGTGTTGGATACCCCTCTTTTATCTTGACTGTCATTGTCGCCACGGCGAATCATTACTTCATGGATGCTATGGTGGCGACTGTGTTTGTCTTCCTGAGCTTTGCACTTAACAAGGTGTTTTATGTGTTCATCCCACTAGAGGATCTGCTTCTATACGTATTGAGAGTGGATAAGCCAGTACCCACAACTGGCGAACGATTCCACGAGAAGGGAGGGAGGATCTAGGGCCTGGGATGTATGTATAAGCTATGCTAGATGAACAGGAGGATTTATGTGTATTGCAAACGGCGTTAATCTAAAGGACTTCGCATTCGGAATCGGCGTTGGGATATACCGTATACCAACCATAGTAATACAGATTGCGCAGAGACAACGAACGTATTATTACCAGCTCAACTACGCAGCTCGAAACAAAGCTCTACACAGTCTATCGCTTTTCTCAGTTTCAGTCCAATGCCAACGAATTGCATGAGAACCAGAACTGATGCTCGAAATATGGGGCAGACTTGTCACTTGGGCCAGCCAGTTCAGCTAAGACCTGTTCCTGCGCTAGCGCAATGGGAACAAGTGGACTGGAAGCTCCCTGTGCAACGCGCGTCCAAGCTCATCACGGCCACGCGCAGAGTCGAGTCGCGGACCAGCCCACGTAACCATCTCCAACCACCCACCACCAGCCGCACGTACACTGTAAGCCAGCCCATGAATTTCCAAGGCGTAGAGATCTGTTCCACTGCAAAATAACTCGCTACTCAATTATTGCCTCCTCTTCGTTCTCCTGCAATTGACTGCCCTTTCTATAACGTGCTTACTCACCAGTCGCATAGCCTTTCTTGAGCTGCAAAACCGCTCCATTCGCTTCCAGACACATACTCTCTTTGTCGCATAGGAAACTTCGCCATGGCAGATATCGAGCAGCAGACGCCGGTCGAGGAGACGCCCACAAATGATGTGGAGATGAACGAGGGCGCAGGGGATGCGCCAGGCGGGGATGTCGAATTGACGCAGATGGAGCCAGAGGCGCCGAAGCTGGTCTTGTTCGCAGAGTAAGTATATTTAGCAAGCACTGGGACCAGATGGTATTGGAGGGAGCATAGCGAAAGAAGTGGGTTGTGCTATCGGCATGTGAGGGAATGTGTCGGTTTGGTGCACGTTCAGGTATACTGACCACTTCACAGGTTGATGAAGAGCCCGATCGTTGAAGTGATTGTCGGATCTGGGGAGAACCGGGCCACATACTCTGCGCATCAAGCAGTAATCATCAAATCACCAGAATTCGCAAAGCAGGTTGACGCCTTCTCAGCAGGAGGAGTAAGAGACAGCGGTCTACACAAACACCAAAAGCTCCCATTAACCTTTTATAGCCCCGCCAAATCCTCTTTCCTGATTGCGACATCGAAGCCATGGGCTCTGTAATCGAGTACCTCTACACAGGCGAATACTTTCCAAAGAGGACCTCGTCCGCGCGCGACGCCCCTCTGGAAAAAGACCCGCGCCAGCCCTCGGCCGACGACGACGGCCTCGGCCTCCTCGTCCACGCCCGCATCTATACTCTGGCCGACCGCCTCCAACTCCCCGAGCTGAAATCGCTCGCGCACTCAAAGATCCACCGCACCGCGTCCACGGCAAAGGGCGAGCTCGCCTACGCCCGCTACGTATACAAGGAGTCCAGTCCCGGAGACGCGACGATTCGCAAGCCGGTTGCTGCCTTTTGGGCGACCCGGTCCTTCAGTCTGCGCCACGATGCGGAGCCAGAGTTCAAGGCCATGTGTCTCGAGTTTCCGCAGTTCTCGTACGATGTCCTGCAGCTGGTGCTTGACCAGCAGGAGAAGAGCAGGCGTGGAGGGGGCGACGATGGGCTGTCGTCGCGTGGTGGGCCGAGTGTAGTTCCAGGGAGCACGAGGAAGAGGGCGAGAGTGAGTCAGGTGTGATGAAAAGTGGCTTTTCTTGCTCCACGTATTTTCATCTCATTGCAGGGGTTTTTTTTATTTATTTTGGTAATCGTGATTGTCCTGCTCATTTTCTGCCATGAAACGGTTTCCGTTTCCGTTTCTGTGTTTCTCTGTTTCTCTGCTTCTGTTTTTGATTTCATCTTGTGTAGCTTGGTTGGGTCGATTGGCTGCGAGACGGACGGTGGGAGAATGCCAAGTTGGCCGCACCGTCTGTCCCGGCCCTGGTCCCCCCCGCACTGCATGTTTGTGTTAGCGACGCGAGTGGACCAGAGGCGTTGCCCGACGCGCTTCAGATTGCAGTAGAGGGCATAGCACATAGGTATTGTGGCATAGCATAGGTGGGCGCATGAGGTAAGCGGCAAGACTTGGGCATGCATGGGTGCTACAGAGCAGAGTGTACCACCTGCATCTCATTGTTCCCGTTGCTGTTCCACCCTTTCTAACCCTAGAGTACTACTCTATCCTCCTCCTACTCTACTCCTAGCTGGCTCACTTGACAAGACCAAATCCACCGCCCATCAAGACAACGAAACAAACCCCTCCCCCCTCCCGCTTTCCACCTCTCCTGCTGTCCATGCTGGCTATTCGGTCTCGCTCGCTCGCAACCCCCAAGCCCAAGGAAGGATGCACGCTGTCCACGCTGGCTAGACCACAGCTGCACCCTTACTCTGCCCACGGCCCGCCTTCTCCCAACCCACCCCGCCTAGCCCTTTTCTGCAGTCCACGAGACCCGCCTCACGGTCCCCACGGTCCCCACGGTCCTCACCTTCGCCTTTTCCCCCCACCCACCCAGCTCTCCACCTATTTCCTCCTGCTATGGGCCCCCTCGTCGGCAATACAATACCAGCCACACGACTCGTTGGCACGCTACTGACGGAGCAGTAAATTCTGAATCCTCCCATCAGTCCTTCATAGCGTGCCATCCACATCATCCACCTCTTGAATCCTCTTCCTCGACACACTTTGCCTTGCTCCTTCCTCACCTCACCTCACCTCACCTCACCTCACTGCCCTCTCTGCATTTCACTTCACTTGACCTCGCCTCCTCTTCAACTCCCTACCACTACAACCCCTTCACTTGCCATCTTCGCCCCAAACCAAAGGTACTCTGCTCGCAGTAGTCCAATGATCCAAGTGTGTCACCCAGCGCCTCCACTCAAGACCGTGCATCCCAGGCACCTCGTGCTTGCACCGCTCCTTTCTCATCCCAAAACCATGGACCCGCCCTCAGCCCCCAATCCAGCTGGCGACGCTGGCGTTCTTCCAGAGTTTGGCGAACTCAGTCTACAGGATGCGCCATCACCACCCATCAACGCCGAAGAGCTTGATGTTTGCACCATGTCACGGGAGACTGCGATGAAGTTGATAGTACGCTCCGTCATTGCCCTCGCAAACGCTGCCGGCGAAGTGCCGGCAACGCCGCCCATTTCTCGCCCAAGCACACCAGGTGGCAAGGAAAATCTTTTGTTGCGGAGCCACAGGCGAACAGCCTCGAGGCCTGCAACACCCATTCCAGCCGAAAAGGAGCAGCATCAGCCCACTGAGTTGGCTCCACCAGAAGCGGGCCACGACGAGCCCGTCACCATACACGACGTGGGTCATGGTGCGCAGCCCGAGTCGGTCCAACGAGCCAACATGGCGAGAAAGTTCTTCTCCAAAACGGTGCCCAAAGTGGGCGTCGAAGAGTACATGAACCGGATACAAAAGTTCTGCCCGCTGTCGACGGCCGTCTGGCTAGCGGCGGGCTCCTACATGCTCCGGTTATGCGTCATTGACAGGAGTGTGCCGCTCACCTACCGCACCATGCACCGACTTGTGCTCGCATGCGCATTGGTTGCGATGAAGGCGCTCGAAGACCACCGCTGGCCGCAAAAGCGATTTGCAGCCGTGGGAGGTGTCGACGAGGCCTCGCTTAGCCGTCTCGAGCTCTGCGTCGAGTTTCTGCTCTCGTTTGACGTGCAAATCTTCACACCGGAAAGGCTGAAGGACTTGACGGTGCAATTGCAAAAAGCCGGACAGGCGGCGACCATGACGTGCAGACTGCCGCCCTCGTTCAACCTGAAGCTTGCGCCTACCAAGATGCGGCGGGAGCAGGCTGTTTGAGTGCGCGCGCAGAGGCCCTGGTTTGCGGTACTTTTTTTTGTGTTCCTTTTGTTGGCTGAATTCTGGATATCCCCCATTTGAGCATACGATGGCGTTTGGGAAGCGAACTTGGCAGCTTTGCATTTGGTGGCAGGGCGAGACAGGATAGGACAAGACAGGCATTTTGTCATCATTCATGACAAGCGACACGGTGGCAGGTGGTGCATAGCAAGAGGGAGAGACTAGGGTGTAAACATAGCCGCTGTTGTTGTAGCCAAAACTTGGTCGAGTCCCAATATCTGGTGATG